TTATCTCTCGGGAAGGTGTAGTATTCGCGGTATCAGACACGATTATGCAAACTATCAGACTAATGAGATCCACTTGGTCTCATTTTTTTAAAAAACTAAAACACACTACTTTTAAAACCCAAACTATATATCTTTTATACTTAAATTAAATCTCAAAAAAATATTTTCATATTTCATATTTTTAAATCTATCTATATCGAAAAAAAGTTGACCGACAAAGCGGCAACAGGACGACGAAGGAGACGTGACCTAACAGACCGCAGATTGCCGAATCCAAATCGGCAGACGACGCGAGAGGCACAGACGAGCGACGAATCCAAATCGGCAGACGACGCGAGAGGCAGAGACGAGCGAAGCGAAAGCAGACAGAGCGGGGAGACGACATATGTGCGTGTATATATATATATATATGTGATATTGTACTATTAATATGTTGGCATCAAACCATTTTTTTGTGGCTAATCGGTCTGATTGATCATCAGAGAAATTAGTGGATATCCATCTAATTGGTATCCACATTTGCTTGTTTAAGGACGTTGCATTAAACTGATTACATATGACTATATATATATATATATATATATATTTTATATATATATATGCAATACGATGTTGGTTGCGGACGAGAGCTCTGTTAGGGTTTGCATTTGATTCTCTCTCTCCTTCGCTCACACACTTTTGTTGACTCGCTTCGTCCCGACGTGACTGCGTCTCTTTTACGCAGACGGCTCGTCTGTGACTGCTTCTGTTGCAGCTCGCATCTGATTCGGCGTCTATTGCGTCTGTGTCGCTCCTCTGGTTTGACGCTGCGCCTTTCCCTACCTTTCGCTCTTGTGTTTCAGTTGCAGCTTGCGTCTGTGTTGGCAGCTTGTTTCGACGCTGCGCCTCTCCCTGCGCGACAACAACACCGACAGAGCTCTGATGGCGCTTCCTTATTCTTTGGTTTAACCTAACAAAGTCTTCTTTGCTTACTTGGTGGGTAATCCTCAGGTGGAGTTGATGGTTGTCTTACCCTCAAGCTATAAGGATTGTCGTGATGACACAGATGATTGCCCTTTTGTTAAAAAGGGAAGCAGGAAAAGAGAGAAAACAACAATCACAATCTTTTTTTCTGATTTGAAAATTTCAACCCTGATGGAGAAATTCAAGTTATTAATAAATTTCAGTGGGACACCCACCTATGGAAGTTATCTGAAAGAGTGATCTTAAACTAATAGACAATTGGAAAGCAAGACTCATGGATGGGTGACATATGTTGATTCAACTAACCGTGGCTGAAGACTTCACCCGAATTTTCTTTAAGAAATATCTTAATATTGCAGACAAATCATGAAACTCTCACTATACCGGTATGGTTTAGTTTACCTGGTCTCAAGCTGCACTTTTTTCATCATTTTATGCATTTTTTTCATCATTAGGTTCTCTACTCTATTTGGGTCATTCTTGGGAATCTTTTGAAGCTAGATCTACCCACTTTCAATTTAACCAGACCTTCTATGACCAGAATACTTGTGGAAAGTTGTGATCAAAATACTTGTGAAAAGAGATTACTTTACTTGATGTTACTGAAGTCTGGCTGGGCACAACTCATAATGGATATTGACAACAAATCGTCATGAAACACAAACTTCCTTATTGTACTCACTGTAAGATGTTTGAGCATACCCTTGATAAATGCCACAAGCTCCATCATAATTTGAAATTTAAGGTTCAAGAGAATAAAAATGAGTCTAACCCCACTGCTTTAGATATATTAGTTCCACCTCTGGAGGACACTACCACAAGACAAGAGGTGTCGGTTGCCTCTGTGGACCCCCCCACTGACACTGTTGTTATTGCGACTGATGTGATGCTGGATGACTCTGCTGGACAACTTGTACCTTCAGACTCTATTGAAAACAATACTGAAGGACTATTACCTACAAAGGAGTGTTCAAACTAATAATCATGAGAACCTACAGCTCCCCATCTTCAGGAAGTATCCGGTGTAGAGGCAACTCATACTTCACATATACTAGAACCTAGTGTGGGTACAACGGTTGGTAATCTTTCTGCTACAGCTCTACCACCTCATCAGACTGATACTTCGGATGAAGAATGACAGGTTTACACTTCTAAGAAAAAGAAGAAAAATGGAGATCTACTTGAGCTCAAAAATCTTATGGATGATTTATTGGTTATTTCGGGTAATGGTACGCACTTTACCAAATTGTTAGCTAGATCTCTTCCGAGAACTAGAGACAAAGACAAGACTAAATTGTGATGACATTCACTTTTTTAGCTCCTTAGTAGTTTGGGTTTTTTTGTTTTTTATATGTACCCTTTTTGACTTTTTTGTGTGTTGTGCCGTATGAGTTTGGTGCCTATTTGGGTCAACTCACACAACCTATATGTATCTTTTCTCTTTATTATGTTAGCCCTTGAGATTTTTTCTAATATATATATATATATATATATATATCAGGTTTACACTTCTAGGAGAAAGAAGAAAAATGGAGATCTATTTGAGCTCAAGAATCTTATGAATGATATATTGGTTTTTTCAGGTAATGGTATGCACCTTATCAATTTGTTAGTTGTCTCTTCCGAGAACTAGAGACATAGACAAGACTAAATTGGGATGACATTCACTTTTTTCGCGCCTTAGTAGTTTGGGCTTTTTTGTTTTTTATATGTACCCTTTTTGACTTTTTTGTGTGTTGTGCCGTGTGAGTTTGGTGCCTATTTGGGCCAACTCACGCAACCTATCTGTATCTTTTCTCTTTATTATATTAGCCCATAGGGAGTCATTGAGGTATTAAATTCAGTTCAGCAGTATACCTATCGATAGCTGATCAGACAGGATTGATGAACCACAGTGCTTGAAATTGCCTTATGAGCTTTTTTTTTAAGGAACATCCCTAGAGCGGGATCTAGGTCCTTTCAGAGAAGAAGAAGAGGCATATCTTGAGTGGTTAAACTTTAGTGTGGTTCAACTTGTCATAGATTTCGTCTCGGAGTTGATTCCTCTTTACATTTTTGTTTATTAGACACACTCGGATGAGTACGAAGAGCAGAAGAAGCTAATTACAGGTTTGATGACTCGAGACTTGGTTCATAATGATACTCATCCATGTGTAGTTCTAGTTATGATTGTGCCAAAATAGGATGATTACATATTCTATCGAAATGTGTTTTGGAATGCAAATGTTAACAGGATTGACTTACCGGGAGATTATAATGTTTTTGTCACCTTCAACGTGCTCGACCTGATGCCATACGATGGGGAGATAGAAGCTTTGGTGGATGAGCTCGAAGCTCCCCTCAACCCTAGGAGATTGATGCAGGAGCTTACCGCGGATGCAGACAATACCGAGGGATTTCACAATCACAAGAGACGGGCCTAAATAATCCCATTTTTCTTTTTTATGCTTTCTTTTTTAATATCCTTCATTTCTTTTTAGAAATCCCTATATATGCGATGTATTAGGGTTTAGAATACAGTTTTGGCTCACATTTCTGTCAGGACAGCCGTCAACATCCGTTTCTCCATTAGAGGGCAATATTTGTGAATTTGGGTGATGCTCTAGCTGTATATCTCTCTTTCGATGTGGTGTTTATCCTCACTAACCCTTTCCATATCTTCCCCACATCGCTTCGGACAACCCTCCATTGTTGCAGTTACCCCCAAATAGCTGTACCTTGCTGTTTTTCGTACAGTTTTCCCATTCCAACCATCTGTCCTCGCTGCTTCCACCTAGCCGTCCTCTTGCAGTCTCGTAGCTCTCTACATCTCCAACCGCTTCCGCCGATATTTCCCCTCACTGCAAGAATCTGAAAATAGCATTTTTCTACTGTTCCAGTCACCCATCCATCCATTCCTCTCCTTCCAGCTTGCTGCCCTTGCCGCAACTCCTCCCCTTCGCTGCTACCATCCACGCCCTTTGATTTCGTCGCACCTTCCAGCCTTCACCTAGTCCTTGTTACCTCATCAAAGGGCCAAACTCTCGCCGATCACTAACACCACCCCAAGACCCCATCCTAATCTGATTATTTGTGTCGTGTATGGTGCTATTTTTGCTTTTCGGGTGTCTTGTTGTTATATTTTTCCTATTAAGTGTGTTGATTGTAACTGCTTAGTTGCATCAAGGAATAATATTTGCTTTTTTATTTTAGTTTGGATTAACTCTGGTATCATAAATAACTGTTTTTTATTTAGTTTATTTGTCAAACTTACTTATTGATATTTTTGCATAACATATTTTATTCAGCTACTAATGGTACCGTCTCCACCCGAGTAGGCTTTTCATTTTAGATTTTCATTATTTGGTATTTTTTTAGTATTTACTTTAGTTATTTATTTTTTTTTGGGTATGTGTAATTTCTTTTTGTTATTTTAGTTTTAATTTAGTTTTTTTTTTTTGCTTTTATTTTAGCTTTATCAATGAACTATTAATTTTGAAATAAAATTTATATTTTTTTTGTTTGTTCCTCTTATTATTTGCATGCAATCATTTTTTTAAAAATACAAAATATGTTCAATTCATTTCATCATGCCTTACGTTGCCAGAGTATATCGTCTTCCGGACGCTAAGTGTGACATTTTTTCTAAGGATTGAAGCCACGCAAAAAAGATATGCACAGAATGGTTGTATCATCTCCAGGCGCATTAAATTTGAACAAATTAAAAATGCGGATTCATGATGCCAACAATAAATAATGAGGGTAAAGGCTATTGCGGTTTATGATGATTCATTGGTATTTTAGCTTTGGGCATGGAATTAGGAATCTTCATTATGAACTTGGTGTGAATGGAACAATTTAAATAAAATATAACCAAAGTAATCAAGTAGACTGCAGAGGATGGAATTTTTTTTTTCATCTTATCAGATTTTGTTATTTGTATATTATTTATAATTTGAATTTGAGGAATTTTCACATTTTCTATCTTCCAAGATGATCACTGTAATTTGCCTTAGCTGTGAAATTTTAGTAGCCTTTCTAATTACATGTACTGGCAGGTTTTAACTACTCGTTGTGATAGAATTGGAGTGTCAAAGAAGATCACTGGCCTTGAGCGAGCACGCTTGAGGGCTATTGCAAGGACACTTCAACCTTTGGGTTTTGGTTTAACTTTAAGAACTGTTGCTGCTGGTCATTCCTTGGAGGAGTTACAAAAAGATCTAGACGGTTTGCTTACCACTTGGAAATGCATAATTGAGCATGCAAAATCTGCAGCGCTTGCAGCTGAAGAGGGGGTAGAAGGTGCAATTCCGGTGATGTTGCACAAAGCAATGGGTCAAACTCTGTCTGTTGTGCAGGATTACTTTAATGAAAAGGTGGCCTGTTTTTTATTACACCGATTTCTGTTAGATGAACCTGCTTCTAGGTTTTTGATCTTATTTACTGAATTTTCTTTTTGAAAAATGTTTGTGATTGCCCTGGCTTTTGGGATTTGTAACTTTTCTTTTTCCAGGTTGGGAGTATGGTTGTGGATTCTCCTCGAACTTATCACGAGGTATACTATAAACTATGCCATATACAGTAAATGTTGAAGTAGATTAATGCATTATACTTGTATTGTTTCCTTAGTTTTTGGGTTAAGCTATTAAAGAGCTGAAATTTTAATCTGGAGATTTTTATTCTATGGAGTAGAAATCTTGGCTATGCATTGTATTTGTGAGATCCTATACCAAGGAAAAATTCTCAAATAAATCGCCTCTTTTTATCCTTCAGGTTACTAGCTACCTTCGTGAGGTTGCACCTGATCTTTGTCAACGTGTCTGGTTATATGATAAAAGAACTCCCATATTTGATGAATACGACATAGAGGAAGAGATCAATAACATTCTAAGTAAGAGGTAGGAGCCAGCATTGTAGATTTTGACATTTTGTTGATATCTGATTTCTTAAGCAGTTTAAATTAATTTTTTTAATGCTTTATGAAAATGAAAAATGTGAATGTATCTAGCATTCTCATCATTGAACATATGAACCTCAAACATCATTATCTAGTTCCTTGAATGAATGTTTTTATTTGTGCTTGCCCATCACACAGTTTCTTAGTATCTTATTTTCCAGTCTTTTATTTATTTTTGTTTTAATTTTTAAAATCACGGGGCTGGAGTGAGTCCTGTCCACCTTCTGTACTAGAAATGTGAAAAGACAATACCTTTTGAACTGTTAGTTCATTTTTTGCTACTCTACTTCCTAAAAGGAAAAAAAATGGGAATTACAAAGAATTACAAGAAAACTGCATAGAATTTTTCAAAAAAATTCATCATATAGATTTATATGATGATTTTTTTTTCCATCGAAGCAGTGATTAGGGTGCCTTAAAATTTGCATGTTTATGTAAGACTATTTAGCTCCGTGAATCATTTTGGTTTTAGCCGTTCAATGGTGCAGTACAATCCTGTAGGAAGAAGTCACATAGGAGATGTGAAAGATGTCATGACTCTTGAAATTAGCTTTGGAAGTAGAGTTCGTTTAAAAGGTGGTTATTTAAGGGGGTTAAACCATATCTCTGCCTCTTCTTATTTGGGGCAACCGTTTGATTATTAGTTTTTATGCTTGAAATTCTGGTAACAGCCTCGGTGAATACCCGAGTGGATCAAAGAATGAGGTGGAGGCCTTTATTCCAGAGGAGAAAACTATAAATGAAACATTATTTCACATGTGCCCATTACGAGAAGTCATGCTACAGCTATATATTGACACTAAGTTGTAAACACATAATTTTTGGATGCAAGTTCTTATTAACTGTTGCTTATAATCACATGCATTGCATCTAAGAGAGAATAAAATTATTTTTTCATACCACAATCGCGAACCAAAAAAAAAAAAAGAAGAAGAAAAAAGAAAAAAAAAATAAAAAAAAAATTGCGCACACACCATTAAGGCCATATAAATTAACAAACACTATAATGCATGTGAGGAAGAATTATCAATTTCCTCTTCATGATCCTTATCCTAACCATTTGGGGCAGACTTTAAATGAAATCATCATTCTCCTTTTGAGTACTATTAGCGTTACATGAGTTCTATACCCAGTGAGTGAGGTTCCCACTAATTAATGCAGAGTATTGGGTTGGCTGATGTAAAATAATGTTTTTTTTTTTAAAGAGAAGCAACCTCTTGCACCACATGAAATGTAATGAATATAAAAATAAGTAAAATCGGACATCCATCAAAGCATTTTCCATTTCCTCCCAACCATGATTAATTGTTAATTGTTATATTTAGAAAAAAAAACCGAACCACTTGTTAGAATCTTGTTTAAGGACAAGTCTTTTTTATTGCACCTCTCTTTTTTTGTCCTTTTTTATTCTTATAATGTACTAGAAAGTGCAGCATAAAAGAACCAGTTGTACACCGTCTTAATATATATATATTCTACATTATGCAATTACAGTGAATCTTCCTTGTAAAATGGTAAAGATTCTTTACATACATGAGAGCAACAAAATCTTCTTTATTATTTGGTAGTGAATAAGGTCAAAATGTTTTTCGGAGTGTTTATGGGGAGCCATTTAGTCTCAAACTATCTAATTCTCCCTTAAATCTTTAAATCTAATTCAAAACAATCCATTGAATTCTCAAATATAATTTAAATAAACCAACATAAGGACTATGGATCATATTTGAGTAGTTAAGGGGCTAATCTAAACACATTAGATAGTTCATGGACGATTTTAACCTTCTTCTATAGTTTGATGAAGGAATTACTTATGTTTAGATTTATTTGATTGTTAAATGCTTGGGAGAAAGTAAGCATTTTATACTGAATTCTAATGTTTTCTGGCCAACAGTTTTTAAATGGTTTAGGGTACTGATTGTTGCAATTGATCTAATCACTTCTACATGCTAATCAAATTCTTTTTACGTAGGATTCCACTTTTAAATGGAGGTTCTTTGGTGATTGAACAAACAGAAGCTCTAGTTTCAATTGATGTTAATGGAGGCCATGGCATGCTAGGACAAGGGACATCTCAGGAAAAAGCAGTTCTGGAAGTCAATCTTGCTGCTGCAAGACAAGTGTGTTAGTTTGAACCTTAGCACCCTTGATATTCATGTATTTATTTTTTGTTTTTTTGCATTGCTTTGAAATATTTATGATCTGCATGGCACGATTCTTGTCTTTCTGTATATGTCCGTGATTTTCTGTGGATTGGAAGTAGTCGCAAGGCTTCTTATTCAAACAATTTAGTATAATGAAATCATGCTAAGTATAACTTCCCGGAGTCATTAAATGCAATGCGGCATTTTTTTTTATTTTGCATTGTAATTAATTCAGATTCTTCATAAAATTTATGCACCCATTTTTATATTCGTTTTTTTAGACTGTTTCCATTCAATAATTACAGTACTATCTTTTTTTTTTGCTAGTTTAGTTCATGGATGCTTGCAGCTAGAATGGGAGGGGTGCTCTTTAGGCATAAAGGGCATGGAGCCGCTTATAAATCCTGCTAGCTAGAATCTACTTGCATAATCATATTTTAATACCGTTATAATTTGTGGGCTAAATTGTTTGTGCTGAAAGGGCTGCATTGGGTTTGGAGAGACTTGTTTACTGGAATTCCTACAGTTTATGTATTTTTAATGGGTTCTGCATTCTTCTCACTTCCATGAATTTAAAGTGTCATTTAAAAAATTTAGCTCCATTGCATATATGAAGCCTGTAACAAAGGTTGGGTTGGTCTATTTAGAAATGGAAGTTCATGTTCGAATCACTGGTCCAAGTCCAACTCTCGTAACATGCACTTTTTAGGTTTTATGCATTTCCTACTTCTTGAAATTGCCGTTTAATGTGACTGTCAGAGTTGTAAACTCCTCTGTGTTATTTGGCTAGATGTAGAAGTAAAATTTACTGCATCCTTGATTCTAATTCCTTTTACTCTTTATTACATGATTCAAAATGCTGGCAGAGTGGCATTATTTAATTTAAGGGCATGTAAATACATACCACACAATTCTTATATATTTACATATCTAACACCTAATTTTTATATTTACATGCATATCACTCAAATCCTTAACCACTTCAAAAATTCCACTGTTACTGACTTCTTACAAGTGAAGCACTCCTTTTCATTCAGAGATTTATGCACCAAAGTGTTATAAATGTAAATATCAAACTTTATGTGTTAGATATGTAAAAACATAAGAATTGTGTGGTTTGTATTTAAATCTCCCTTTAATTTATCCTGCAAAGGCGTGGAAAAGGGTGTTGATCTATGTAGTATGACTGAATTTGAGTATATTATCTGTTTAAATGGAAGTCAACATTGGCGCTTTTGCTAAACCTTGCTAGCAAAGTTACATTATAATTAGTTACAACTTCATGGATCCTAGAATTGATGCAAATTTCAATTGCTACAATAACTGCTTGCTACCATTCACCTTTTAGTCAATTTGTAAAGCAGGGCAAGGATTTATTCCAACTTGAGTCTGGTCCAGTGAAACTGAAACTGAAACGAATTATAAAGTGATGATCTATTTCAACTTTGTCGGAATTTTAGGAATTTCTCTTTTAATATCTTTTATTTTTATTATTTATATTTTTAGTAGTTTTTAATTGTAGAATTTTCTATTGTTAGTCATTTTTATTTCTTTTTTCTAGCATGAGGATTTTGTGGCTTCCTAATGTGTTGGCCTTCCCCTGCTATTTATCTTGTAATCGAGTCTTAGGAAATTGAAGAGTAATATATATTTTTCCCCTTCAAAAAATTACATGGTATCATAGCCTATCTTTGCCTTCGAAACATTGACCTAATTCCGTCGAGATCATCCGCGGGTTCTGTTGTGTGACTTCTGCCCCTGCCGGGTTCGCCCAATACCATCATCTTCATGCCTACCACAAACAATATAGTCTCGATTATAACTAAGACTGGATTGCAGCATTTGGAGACCTTCTCGAGATGGTCACCATTAGATCTCACTAGGAAGGAAACGACTGAATTGTGGAGATCAGAGAACCTCGTGATACAATCGCAATTAGAGCCAGCTTGGAAGACAATGACTGGTTCGTGGCATTCAGATAATTGACCTCACCTGATTTGGCGTTGTTCGAGGGATCTGGATATGCTTCTGCTTGGTTTTGACGTCGCAGCTTCTCACAATTCTATCGTTGAGGGTTCTAGACATACCACGATAAAGGATTTTAGTTCCTTGTTGCCCTCCTTTGACGCAGGAAGCCTCTTCTTGGCTTGAGGCTTCTTTTTTGCAGAGAATTTCTCCGTCACCTCTGTTTTCTGCTTTCTTTTTGCCATCTTTTTTTTTTGGCTGCGAGCTTCGTATTGGCGGGCTTCTTCTTTGCTGATTTTGTCTTGATCTTTGGTGCCATTGGAATTTATAATTTGAGGGAAAGAAGACAACTTCTCCTTTCCATTCCTCTAGTTTTTCACATGGAAGGTCTTCCTTTTCGAGTGCCGTGATCAAATACTCAATCAGCTTCAACCCCTTCGGCTGCTTCTCCATTGGAGCCACCGACTCCTCTACTCAACTTTAAATGTCAAAATAACTCACAACCAAAATCGACTCAAATTTTCAGACTTATCCTCTTCTCTCCTTTGATGATGTCATACAAGTCGATGATGACTGACACCAAAAAAAATCCCACAGTTTCTATTGGTTCTAGTAATTCCAAAATCAATTCGTCCTATCTATTATGGTGCAAACATTATAAAAAATCATGTCATACAAAGTAGACATGTTGGAAGTGTAATAATCAATTTTACTTCAAAAAAATTAAGTGTCGTTCGAAAACAGGTGTGCCGTGTACGGGCAGTTAGACAAAAGGCTCTCGTTTCCCTCTTTCGTTTGAACCGGAGCATAAGAGAAAACCGGAGGGAGAGAGAGAAAAAGATAGTGCGAGAGACAGAGGAAGTAGTGGCAGAAGGAGAAGAATAGGAGGAAGGAAGAGGAAGATGTGTGTGAGGAACAAAGCTAAGCGAGGAGGCATCGTCAACCAGGTGAAGGCGACGAAGCAACTTCGACGGTTTCTAAGTAGGAGAAGACCAACTCTAGCCGAAGTAGTTTCTCTCACAGGAAGGGGAAAATTGTTGAAAGGCTCTATGTGTGAGGGAATCCAGTGCCCTAGCCTGGGAACAAGGAGAAGGGGAAGCAAAAAGGAAGGATTGGACTCTTGTGTGCGCTGAATCAATCGACTCCATCATGAAGAAGGAAGAGAATGGAGCCAGCTCGTGTGCGGAATGGAGCTCTCGTTTGAGAGAATACGGGTGGTCAAAGGAATTTTTGGTAATATTAGGTTTATTTTATAATTTAATTAATTAACTATATCTATATATATATAAGCTTATTCTTTTAGTGTTAATGGGGACTCCTTTTCGAGACCGAGGAGTGGATCACTTTGAAGGATAAGGTATAAAATAATTGAAATTTAAGTATGATTTATTAATTTAGATTTAATGTTATTAAAATTCTAATAATATATTATATTAAGGGAAAATTACATACATAACACCCAATTCTTATGAATTTACCTATTTCACACACAACACTTTACCTATGAATGAAAAGATGCATTTGACTATTAATGGGTCATGCTTTTCATATGATACTTGTAATTATGACAGTTTTGTTGTGATATCTGTAAATATGAAAGTTTTGGATGTTATGTATGTAAAAGCTCCTATATTAAGTTATAACAATTATTAGGAGCAAAGAGCATTGATCCAAAAAGATTTGATCATTTAGAGTCAGTAAAATAAACAAACAAAGATTTTAAGTGAGTAATTATATTTTTAAATTTCAGTAATTTTCATTATTTTTTATTGTGTGCTTGATTTCATTTCATGCTCTGTTCTAGTGAGATTTAGATTATAATAAATTTTTCATATTATTAGATAAGAAAATTATGTTTGTTAAACAATTGTATCATAGTTTTTATAAGAAATTTTATTACTACATGATATGTTGATTTCAGTATAGATGCATATAGTAGTTTATTGTATGACTTATAGATTTAATAAATGTGTATTTTATTAGTAGTTAAACCTATGTTGTCTCCTAAGATATCTCATAAAAATATATGATATGATGAAGTTGTGTGTCTATGACTGCTTGTATATGATATGACTTTACTATATTCAATAACATATTAATATCATTTTATATCTGTACAACGATCACATGAACATCGTCTAAAAATTGTGTCAATTAATACACATAAATATTAATATATTTTTCCATATACCTGCACGAGTACCTTAGTATTTCCTTACTAATATCATTAAAGGGCGACTCCATCACAGTTAGTCATGCACAGATAAATAATTAACATAAACATATCATTCATGTATTCATCGCATTCAATCCAATATACTATACAAAACATACACTAAATGCATGAGAATAAGTAGCTACAATATTCATAATGATATGACCAATTAAAAAAAAATATCTATCCGAATAAAACTCGTACAAGTGTCATCAATTGCAAAATATTTGAGAAGAAACAAATTATTACCATAAATTAAAAGTACGAGCACTCACCTCGATGACGATTAATTTGTTCTTGAATTTGTATTTGCTTCTAACCTCTTAAAATTTATGCCTACAATAAATATGGGTGTAAAATTTAATTAGTTATTATTTTAATCTTCATTATTTAAGTATTAAATTTTTATATTTATTCGATGTAATCCCACACGCGCGCGCACACACACACACACGTTTGTGTATATATATATATAATATTTATATTATAATTATAAAATTTTTATTAGATATCTTACCCTTATAAATCTTCCCAGTCGAGCCTTTGCCCACCCGAACTCCTCTCTCACTTTGCACATGACGTTCTTTTTCCTACGTGCGAGGGCTTGACTTTAACTCCCGTGCGAAACTCGATGACGTTGCGAGAGCATTTCGACGCGACGCCTTCTTCCTCTCCTCTACTCATCACTGAAGCAGCCTCCTCTTTCGCTTGACAGAGGCACCGCCTCTGCCCTAATTCTCACGTCGCCCTCTCTATGACATGCTGGTCATCTCCCAAGTAAGTCGGCATGCAACTT